ATCCCACTTCTAAAATGTCGGAGCCAATCAAAATATGGAGTTGTGTCTGATCGCATTGACGTTTGGAATTGTGAGATTTGTTTTTCATCGTACCCTGTGACAAGGTCACGGGTCAGAATCCATGGAAGATATGATGTAAACAATGTTGATGACGCGAGGAGCGATCTCAAATGTTCAACTGTTAGGCATCAATAGCATTCATGAATTAGTCTACGTCAATCAGACACACAGAAAATTCTAAATGCGTCCAAAGTTGACTCGTGCATTTTCTATCATGTCCTCGTTCTGATCATCCATCGATTTCATCACCACATATCTCCCCCTTCTACTCATCCACTCTTCTTCTCCTCCCTTTTTTCTCTTCTACTCATCTCGTCCGAATCCGTTCTTTCCACCCCCGTCACTACATCTACAACCTCAATATCTGGCCCGGAAAACCTCTTTCGAGCAGTCGTCCCCCAAGTTCCCGCCGCTACCATCATAATCACTCCTATAGCGGCTGATGTGTAATTCATATTCTCGCTCGTAACCGGATACACCGATGGGAAATTAAAAGTAATACATGCGAAAAGTAAGTACGCCAGGCCAACCCCATTAACTATTAATGAGACGGCTGGTCTCATCGCCCAAGGACCTGTAAGTTGTCGATGCGATCCGTTGATATGAGATATTATGCGCACGAGTAGAGGCATGGCGTATGAAAGATAAAATCCCTCTGTCGCAATGGCGATGACAGTGTTGAACCCTGTTACTGTGCCAAAGTAAATGCTGTTGAATGCCATTTGTACTATAGTCCCAATAATAATCGCCACAACGGGAACTTGATGCTTAGCGCTCACTTTACTGATATGGCTCGAAAATGGAAGTCCATGATCTCTAGCGAATGCATAAAGACTTCGACTTCCCTCCGCAAGCAGTGCGTTGGAAGATGCGACGTTAATGACTACGATCATAGATGCTAGGAAACATGCTGCGATGTGACTATTGGTTGAATCGGCGTAGATTTGGATTAAAGGGACCAGAGTAGATGTGTTAGCAACGGCATCGATATCGCCAACGCAGAAACAGACGGCGATCAGGAAGATAAATCCTGTGATAGCTCCGATGTAGACGGAGAGAACCATCGCGCGAGGAGCTTCTTTCGAAGCATATTTTAGTTCTTCTGTCATGTGGGATGGCGCATCGTCTAGGTAGTTATTTTGTGTTAGTCTGATGGTGAACCAAATGAAGTCGGAGCGATTTGAGAAGACAGTAGAGAATGTCATGACAACGGCGGCGTGGTAAGAAATACTTACAACAACACATCCCGAAGGCCGGCTGTAATATCCCAATAATACCAGCCATCGCCGTCCCAAAGCCCGTAAAGTTCTGAAAGTCTTGAAAAACAAAACTAGCACTTTGTTTATTGGTGTTGCATGCCAACATAGTGACAATCGTCACAATGAACGACGCAATATTGAAGAAAAGCGCAACCGTAGATACTTTGTCCAGAATCTTCGATCCCCATAGATTGATGAATGTTGCAATGAGCGTCACGGCCCAGGCTACCAAGACCGTGTGCCACCGCTCAATCAGGTAGGAAGGATTAACGAGATTCGCTTGGCCCAAGATAAAATTTGCGCCGATGAAACTGTTCGTTGCGCCCATGGCAAGAATACCTATATGCGTACCACAAAACGTCAGTCATAATAGTTTCCATGAAGAACAAGGAGCATGGGGTTAAGTTTCTGGAAGGTCATGAGATGCTTCTTTGGTATCACTTTTCATCTCAGGTACGACCAAGATTTGATACTAATATGACGAGACAGATTATGACTGACCGATGATCATAAACCATCCCGTAAGATAGGAGAATTGTCTCCTCACCGATTTCGGTGAGAGAATATAGACCCATGAGTATTGGCCTCCGGCAACGGGGTACTCAGAGCACATTTCTGCCATGGAATAGACGACGCAAAGGGAGACAAGACTGATGCCTACCCAGCCCCAAATCATCTGCGCAAAGGAATAATGTTAGCTCAAGTCGTATAGCAGAGTTTTTTGTCATTCTTGACAACTTCATATGTCTCGGACGTCGTGGAACATGTTTGGGGCTATGTCGCTATACCAGCACAGTGCAATGTTACGAACATCCTCGAGGATCGACTAAGATTTTCATAATCGACCCATAGATAGGAGGATTAAGCCTGGACTTGGAGGCAGGGTAAGATCTGAATGAGAAATGTGAAAGGTTACTCACTACCGGTGGACCACCAGCATTGACACCTGTGACAAGCACACCACCGAGGGCACTCCAACTGCACGAAGCCGTTAGCAAGCGTTAAGCGTCCCATCTTGCCACGTTTTTCTGCTCCAAGGTTGCAGCGCCGGTGCCGATCACCGGTGTTGGGATTGGGAAAATGCACAGCATACGCAGAAGAACACTCACCTCGTAACAATGGAAAAGGAGAAACCAATCATGCCCAAAAGACCAAACGATCGCTTGAGCTCTGAGATTATGCTTATCAGCAGATGATCAAAAATGACACCATGAGTAGATACTACGCCAGCTAGATAATAAGGACATGAGGAAATAAACTTACCCGGACGATAACCCATATTTTCAAGGGCAGCATCTTCAGCCACACCTGGAGGGAAGACTTTTCCCACAACCCCTTCTTCTTTCATCTTGTTCTTCACAATGAAATGCAGATACTCGAGGTTAAGATTCCCAATACCACAGCTTTGGAACAAGGTAGTGGCAGTTTCCAAGATATGTTGTACTGTTGATTAGGGAGTGGAGAGACATATGACCGAGGATACAACCCAAGGTATTTATAAACTCATCCAGAACATCTTGCAAGAAACCCATACCTTATCGGGATCATATTGACGGGTATGAGAAGAAGTTGGATGGGGGGGACGCAACTTTTGATGCAACATTACAACTGCCGGGGTGACTGTGGAATAGCCATGTTAGACTTTTCCCTCGTCGAATGATATTGACTTAGCTAACTAGGACTGTGGTGTGGGATGTCATTGAGATACAAAAGCTGAGATAGATGTGAATTTCTATCTTGTCATTTGTATCCGATAGCAATCTCTATATCAAATCTGCTATCAATATCTCATCTATCACGGTTCCCTCCGGCAAACCCATGATGGTGCTTTGTTTATGCATGTTTGTATCTACCACCTTGTCTTTGAATTACCGTATCGGAGAAAAGAATGAAAGAATGAGGAACATTTTTCTCGATGAGCGTTGGATTATCTGGTTGATGGGGTCATGGTTGGGGAATGGATTGGTCCGGGGCAAACAATGCTAGGATATTTTTTTAGGCTTATCTGTGGCTTGCCCGCAATACTTTCCACAAGATGATCTTTTTAAAGCGTTTTGTTCCGTTGTTCATCGACATAAACTTATTACGTTTCGTTAATTTCTCGTGATATAGCAATCTTACAAAGGAGATGGTACCACGGTACAACTGGCTTCGTCGGCCCTCTAACTTGCTTGCTTTCTTGCATGTAGATATATGAATGGAAATGTGTTGCCTGGAATCTTGTTTATGATATCACTCTTTTCGAATCAAATAACCTCCTCGGCCGCCTCAATCTACAAACAAGACACATCGCATAAGCCATAACGTGGTTTGGTCTTGATGTACGACTCAAGGTTCACTTGATATCAATGAGAACTGCCTCCTTACCCTTGAAGCCCGAGTTGCGAAAAGTTATCAGACATAATTTGAAATGTGATAGAAATTCATCATCGTAACACGATTCGATTGCAGGGAAATATTGAATGATTGTTTTCAAACAATTCGAGAGGGATGATGCATACCTCCGACCGAAGATGGCCGAGTCTCATAACTTGCTCATCGGCATCAATACGACGCGTTGTCTCTTGCGTTAAATATATTGAAAATGTACACGAAACATTCCCCTTGAGGCCGTCGCTCTTTTGGTTCAGGCGAGTGCCAACAATGTTACCAGCGTCCAATATTGATCATCAATGTTGGAGCCTGTCAGCTCAAGCTGTTGAGCTAACTAATTTTTATGAAGGACCCCCTTCTTGACACTCTTGATATTTGCCGTTCTTCTTGGCCCCACAAGATTCATCGCCGCGGGGAAAAAGGAAAAGGGAATTGCTTCAGCAGGCTTTTTCTTCCGTCGGATATGTACATGGGACCTACGCAAGGTCCAGCGCCATTCTTCTTTTCCATTATTCATTGTGGTGGAACGAGACGGGAACCTGCACACCGCCCAACATTTCATTCGATGATTCCTTTTCCCCCCTTCTACACTAATCCGAAATTCTGGTTTGTACTACATGTACTGATCTACAATTGTGTAGGACCAACATATCGGCTGGGCTAGTACACCCATTCCAGAATCTGCAAGATTCCCGCATGTACTACCCCGGATTTTTGCACTGCATGTAGGTAGCAGAGCAGCCTTGTGCAGAATCTCACCAAATAGACGACTGACTTGGATGAGTAAATGTCGTATTACAATTTCAAGGAAGGGAAGTTGGGACCTGTCAACTTCCATTGATACTCCACGGAGATTCATTCTTGGTCAATTGAATCAATCGAAGCCAGCATGACTTTATGCCTGCAATGAGCCGTAAATGATGATTGCTTCACTTGAAGTTTACGCCATGATCTTTGGAGCTTCCCCCATTATCTTCGTAGGTACCCGTGGCAGGAACAAGATCCAGCTGTACCAGCAGTCAGTACATGATCGGACTTTTGACTTGGCCTATCAAATTGAAGAAGTTTGTCAGATCAAGTTATATATCAATCAATAAGTGAAATTGATGAAGTATACATAATACATCTCTTCTTCAACAACTTTATCCTCTACCATCTTTTTGTTTGTTGTTCTCAGCTGGATTGCAAGTTCTTCTCTTGGTCCAATTTGTCATTCCTCATCTGGCTGAATCCAACTTTGGACGAATAACCACCTCTGCTTGTTCGGGCTTTGCTTAGTCGTTGACACCTACATAAGATATTTTTAAAATGGAAGGACCAAATGGCCCAAGTCTTTATCAACAAACCATCTCATCTTCACACAACACTCCTTCATCAATCAACATTCATACCAATTCGTCTGCCATTCTTCCAATCGTTGAACCTCATCAAATTCTTTCTAAAGTACGCACCACCGGTGATGCATCAATAACCTCAGAGAAGATTTACGACGAAATTGATGAGTTAAAATTCGAAATCAAAACTCGAGCAGCTACAGCAGTCTCTGCAGCGAACATCAAAGCTGTTAAATCCAAAAGATCTTCTTTCATATCAAAAATTCTCAATTTCCATCGAAGCCGACCACATTCACTTGCAATACATAACCACTGCCAAACTTTCAGGATGTCTCCCTCTGCTTTACAAGAACGAGGGGCTCTTGATACCGAACATCGTCCTGCTGTAGTGTGTCCGCAAAGATACACCAAGCTACAGGCCATACCTTACAAGTGGCCTCATGACGGTACACTTGACAGATCTACTACAGCGTTAGTCATTATTGACATGCAGAAAGATTGTAAGTTTGAATTCTCTTTTCTTCTCTGTTGTTGGGCGTACATAATCCATGTGAGGCATATCACAACACCCCCTTTACATACGCATGTATTACTAGTATTTGTTATTTGTGGGGGGTTCGGAGAAAGAGCCCAAAGACCCCCAACTTCCCCACTCAGATTTAATTCCAAATAGATTTACCATGGATAAAAATCCAATCTATGTGTACTTACTAACTTTCTTTCACTGTAGTTGCTTCTGCCGAGGGATATCTGGCAAAGCAAAACATTGACAATAAACCAATTCTCGATATTGTCCCTAACATTCGAAAACTTCTCGACACTTGCAGAGCCAAAGGGTATCCAATTTACCACACGCGTGAAGGTCATCGGCCTGATTTGTCCACCCTTTCCGAGCGTGAAAGGTACCGTTCAAAGAACAATCCATCTGGACTTGGTATCGGTGATCATGGCCCACTAGGACGCCTCTTGATCCGTGGGGAGAGAGGTCATGAGATTATCGATGAATTGGCGCCTCGATCAAATGAACCAGTTATTGACAAGCCAGGCCGAAGCGCTTTCCAACACACCGAGTTCCGGCTTATGCTCAATATCAAAGGTATCAAGAATCTGATCATATGTGGTGTAACAACGGACGTTTGTGTAACGAGCACAATGAGGGATGCCAATGATAACAACTTTGATTGCGTCTTGGTGAAGGACGCGTGTGCCGCCGGCGTCCTCGAAAATCACACAAGGGCTGTCGCATCGATTACCGAAGAAGGGGGAATCTTTGGCGCTGTTACAACCGTAAAAGATGTTTTGAATGGGTTGGGAGCTGGATCAGTTCCGAAGAAACACAAGGATGGATCCAAGGTTTCCAATCCAGAACCAAAACTGGCAGAACACTTCAAAGCTGCCTCGAAGACTATCGTCAGTCACAATCCAAATCCCGATTCGGGGAGAGAAGATTCAGAGATGTCTGATTATGAACCAATTATGGAACATGACAATGCGGTATCAGGGGATGATCATGTGCCGGGTGAAAGGAATAAATCTTCACGCCGTTCCACACGTAGCCGCAACAAAAAACCGAAAATTATTCTACCGAACTACGGAGACAGTAGTGATGAAAGTGACGAGATGCCTAGCTACTCAGGTGGCAAGCAAGTTACATGATATGTATCGAGTTACAGCGCTAATCACTGGTGTATTTCGACGTGCTTTGAGGTATTTAATAATTTTGTGAGAAGGCCGTCAGAAGAAACCTTGTCAAAATAACGACTGGCGGGATGATTCGTACCGAGACATTGCAAATGTAGGCATGGACGTAGAGAAAACGAAGAAAGGAAGTGTCGGCAACACAAGTGAGAAGGGAATGCATTTTGGAAACTGGGGCGTTGAGCTAGAATCGAAGCGAGGAAATTTTGCTGAGCTTGGGGCTGCTAGCAATGGCATTTTATAGGAGGTTCGAATTGTGGAGGTGGATGCTCATTAGTTTAGTTATTTGCTCCTTCGATCCTCTTGAATAGCTTAAAGAGGTCAATTTGGCCAGCGTTGGTATTGCTCGTGAAGGGGTGAATATTGCAATGTTCCCAGTAGTATAGCATTAAAATGAATTTCATCTGCATGAGAATTTACTTGGCTGCTTTTGAGATGGTCACTCTGAATTTGAGTTCGAAGAAATATAGTCATCAGTATTGAGAAGTTTCTGTCATACTATCGTCAACTATTCACACCATTCCTTAGGATGACCAAAACCTGGGGCAGTCTAATCAGTGGCATTTTTACTTGTCAACCTGATTATGTATCTCTCAAGGAGGATCATACTTCAATCTCAACAATTTGCTTTCTGATTTCACTATCGGCAACGCAATATACTGGCTTGGTGCAACATGATGAATACTTCATTTTCCTTTGGTACTAGCATACATCTCATTCTCATCGAAGTTTCGTATAATTCTCCTCTATAACTGGCTAGCTGTCTAATTCTTGAAGAAGGGCGGAATCGTTTAAGGAGGACAATGTTCTTGGTATATGTGATATTAGTATGTACGATGACTGTTTGTAGTTTTATATGGGCAATTGTGTGTTACGGAATATAGTATTTAGAGATGGTTGTGTTATCTTTTTGCTATTTGTTAAAGTAAGCTTAATGTACCTACTAGGTAGTATTTGCAAGAATGCGAGGAGATGGAATGACAGCTTGGGTTGTTCCTTTCATTCCTGATGTTTCTCAGCTTGTAAGGTTAACCTTACCCACTGACTGGCGGCCAGAGTCTATACAAATTAGTAAGGGATCCTCATATTGGATATGTCTGATTGTCATTCTTGATTCTCTCAAAGCCTACGATAGATATGTAGACCATATTCCTGAACATATAGATGCACGTGATATGTATTTTGGCCGTGAAGAGTTACTTTTAGTATAAGTCAGGGACGTTCCTAGCCCACGACGATCATTACGTCATTTCCAGCGGCAAAAACCTACAACCACAACCACAACATCAAATCACAACACCACAAACTTTATCAATCCGAGAGGAACAAATATAACTCACTCTAAGATCATCATGGAACCAGCTATCGTAACCGCCGCCGCTTACGGTGTCGAAACAGCAGTTGAGGGAGGAGTCGCCGCATATTATCTGTCGAAATCAACACTGCCCTTAAAAGGACATCTCGAACATGTGACGACCACCGATAGATTACCGCGATTTGGACATACATTGTCGGTGATTAGTGATAGGGCATATGTTTTTGGGGGTTCTGAGGATCCGAATTCTCAATCTTTGACGAACGATGTTCTTGAGCTTCACGTCTCAACTGAGGAGAATACCACGACTGCGGTTTTGCGATCGATACCAGCAGTCGGAGATGGAGAAAAGAATACAGTATCTGTACCTTTAGCTCGCACGTTTCATTCAGCGACTGTTGCTCGAAGTCTTTTTTTCGTTTTTGGCGGGAGTGAAAATCCTTCTGATAATTCGAAGCCTTTGGAAGAGAATGGTCGATTGTGGGTATTCGACCCATTGTCATCAAGATGGACATTCCTGGATCCTCCCCCAGACACCACATTTCCATTTTCGCGGACGAAACATGTCAGTACATCCAGTCCTGATGGCTCTGTCATTTTCGTCTATGGAGGATTATCATCTGATCAAGTGCGATTGAATGATCTATGGGCATTTTATTTGGACGAGGGAAAGTGGAGCAGACTGCCAGATCCTCCAGGGTCACCGACATCTGGAATCAATCTCACGTGCGGACGAGGAAAGTTATGGAGATTGGGATACAGTGAAGATTTGGAGAAATCTATAGACGCGATGCCTCGTGGTCAAATCGACTTCTTGGAATATCCTACCGGTAGAACTCTGGATGATGTGAGTAAGGATTTGGCGCAAGGTCATGTGAATGATTTTAAGAAGGATAGTCAATGGGAGACTTTAGACTTCGACATGAGTAAACCATCTGAGGTTCCATCACCTCGCGATTCTGCCGCTTTGCATTTCATCACCACGGGAAATGGTAGGGATTACTTATTATTAGCTTTGGGCTCCGATGATAAGGAACAATTCTCAGACATCTGGATCTATCAACTTCCACCCGCGCAATATTCCGGCGCAAAGGTGAAAGACGTCGTACGAGAAAAGCTGCCTGGTGTGGATAGCCATAGAGGCGACTGGTCTCGTCTGCAAATCAGCGGAATAGAAGTGGGAGCGGATGAAGAGAAAGGCGGAGCGTGGACTAGCAGACGATATTTTGGTAGCTCGATGACGGGCTCGAAACAACTTATGCTTTGGGGGGGACTTGGACCGAGGAATGAGACGCTTGGGGATGGGTGGAGGATTATTATTGGTTAGGTGTTGTATGTTGAGATGGAAGATTTAGGTGAGGAATAGATGAGGACTTTCTCGTCTCTATGCAAGTTTTGTGAGTCGATTAGAATAGGATCATCATGTGAGCTGGCTCTCAGATCTGTGTAACTTCTAAAGTTGTCATTTGAGAGCATTTATGATGCTTTCGCATTATTACCACAGAATACGATTCACGATTAGAGATCGACAAAGACAATTGGGATACAATTTGATATGACATCGTGTGTAGAAGAGTGATATGATTGTGATATGCGCGTATGTTTGGAACTTCAAGTGCGACTGTGGCTCCTATTTGGTTTTACATCGTGGGTATTCAGTAAGGCCATATTCTTTGAGCTTACAATATGTTGAGCTAGTCGAACATGAAACAGACGAACATTCGTTACCTGTATAGCATTTCAAAACTCTCATCCTATCCTAAAATTGAATCAAGGATAGGTAGGATGAGGATAGTTTTCTTTTCCCAGGAATATGGTGAGAATTTTGGGATTCAGAATAGGAGGAAAAGGATAAGAACAGTTGTAATATTCAATTTGAAATTACAATATAAAGCTATTCCTGCTAAGTTTTGATCTTGTTACTTGTTAGTTAAGATTGAAGTCAGAAAGGTATTGTACAACTAGGTACCTAATGTTATTAGAGATTTGAGTAGGGGAATAATGTTTTTTTTCCTTTGGAGTTATTATTAGCTTTCAATCTTAAACAATCTGACTCAATTTGAAAGCTATCAGCTGATATATATATTTGAGCGATATCTCTTATGTGATATCACCTTTAATAAGGGTCTCCATCCTAGATTAGAATAGGAGAGGAGAGGAGAAGGATGGGAGATTTGAAGCGCTGCTTTTGTAGATTCTGTCTGGTTAGCGTTGAAATGTTCATGATCATTTAAGGGTTCAGAAGACAAAAGTCGCCGATTCGAAAATGGAGGTAGGATAAGGAGATCATAACAGGATAGTTTTGGGAATTAGACGTCTGGAAATATGGTGTTTAGTTGGAGCTACGTAGGACACAAAAAATTTGGATTCGGAAGATGTTTAGTTGGATAATGTTTATGATTTTAATTTTGTGAGTAGGAAAAGTAAGAGAGGATTGACTTATCTGGCTATTGGAGAGGAACTATGTCAGAAAAGTCGGGCGGGACGATGACGGTTCTTGAGGCCCTGCAAGTAGGGCATGAGATTGTATCCGCAGCTCCTTCGCGGAACCAGGGAAGAATGCAATCGTGATGAAAAATATGAAAGCCGCAGAAGACCCGACGAAGACCTGTGAGCCCACCGGCTTCCGGATGATGCAAGGGTTGTCGACAGATGCCGCAAATCTCGTCGTCTGGGAAATCCGCTGGGAGCACTGGTGCAAGAATCGCGGGGTTGGGATCCGTTTCTTCGTACACACTTGCAAGCTCAGCCTCAGGGATGCCGTTTCTGACCTGTCCAAAGTAGTAGTTTTGTTGTGCGAGGTACCAGTTTCGGGTTCTGTCAAATCTGATGATGTTCAACCCCAATCTGTCGAGGATCTCTTCTGTCAGTTCATCTGAACCCTCCTCATGAAGCTGCAACCCTACTTCGTAGCCTTCCGCAGCTGTTTCGGCGTCGAACTCGAAAATTGCCTGTCTTGCAAAATGTGTTCTTTGCTCCTCGGTGTATCGTGCACAAAACTCCCGACGAGATTGGATCTCGGCTGGTGTGATTTCTTCCTCGTCAGATCTCCATTCGTTTTCAATAGCATCAGTATCGGGATTCAAGCAGAACTTACAGGATGAGTCGAGGATTGTGGCTTGACTGATATGATAGGCTCTACACAAACACTGAATATATTGACCCTCGAGGTAAGGATTATGATTGAAGTATAGGCAACGATCATCTTCATGCTTGATTCTAGTGATGACGTGGCCACAGACTGTGTGGAATGTCTCGTCAATGACGCAGAGTTCTTGTGCAAAATTCATGTTTAGATGTGTTATTGCGAGACTCTGAGTTTCTTAGGTTCTAAGATATGTAGATCACTGTACGATGACTCGTATTTATACTCATGGTGAGAAGGGTTGTTCTGAAGGGCGAGTAGAGCGAGTAGAGTATGTGATCTATTCCTACATCGTTCTCGACTTATTCTCAGGTTGTTTCTAAAATGAGGTGAATAGTGTCAAAACAACAACGAATTCAGATTCGTAGACTTGGGACTGCCGAAGTCTGCTTTTGACCTGACATTATCATAAATCTCATCATGAGTCACTAGATGATATTGAAATTTTGGTTTGAAGGTCCAAATTAGGCAAATCGAGGAACCTTGTCAGCGCAATGTGTAAGCACAATTTGTGGGTTGCGACGTCAAAAGCCAAAAGCCAGAAACCACGAGCATCAAGAATTTCGTCTGAGACTCATCGCATCTGAGGAGAATTATGTTTAAAATCGCGAGTTCATGACACAAGTTGACTCCAACAAGAGTGTTTTGGCGGCGATGGTCGACTATACGCGTACGGAGGAAGGTTACAGCTTTGGGAAACACGCTGCACTAATGGCACAATGCAAGGTATTTTTAACGTCTTAAAAAATTGATTGTTGAACGATGAAAAGAAAATGTATACAATGCATATAAATGCAAGCATAACATGAATTCGAAGGAACAGTCGTAATCTGGCCATCGTTGAGAGAAAGGAAGGCGCCAAAAACTTATGTGGAGAATCGTTTAACCTTAAGGTTGCCCCGCCAAATATCCGCTCGCTAACCCAATGCGTCAACTGGGACGATGTACGGATTGATTGTTCGATTGTTTGATTTCAACTGAAAATTCAAGCTTCTTCATGTCCTGGCATACCGGTATTTTGACGGCCATGTGAGTGATTGGCTTGCGAATGGCCAGACACTCCTAGCTCTGACGCCACGAATAACAGGTTGCTCACTCGTCAAAGTGGCCTCGAGGTTCCCAACAATTCTGAAATCACGATTAGATATTTCATGAAAGTATGTAGAATGAACTGGTCAGTGTCAGTGTCTAATATTTCTATCCCTTCCTCAATGGCGTCGTTCGATTTTTAGAACCGACGATGTGGCACAGCCGCGGCTACATACTTGCTATGCATAGAAAAACTCATTGGCTCTACATGCTTTGATTTCACACCTACAGCACAATGATTGCAATCGGCGATGGGATTTGGAGAAATCAGGTCATATACGCATGAAATGAGGTTGCATTCAGCAGGTACAGCAAAAATTCACATGCTGTAAGCCCAGTGGTGTGATTTCCCCAAAACCCAGCCACGGTAAAACTACCCGATAGGTCAATGAAACTATTTCGACCACAAATGTTGAGACGGCTTCAAATTCTCGTGTCACATTGATCATGGCATCTAAGCATGACGCCTCACGCGATTCCTCAACTTGTTATATATATAAGTCTTTGATGCCAGGTGCGAAGGTATATTTCAAGACCGCACCAAGCAAGTACCATCAATCCACACAACCAAAACAATACAAGCAACACACATCAATCTTCAAACCGCACCACGAATAAAATCACAATGACACGCCCGGCACCTGGAATGAGAGGCTACTCGGATATTATGAATACCAGCGATAAAGAGTTGCATGGCAATGGACAAAAAGTAGACTTTCCCTATGAAAACATGGGAGCCCATACCCTCTGGAAGCAGAACTTCTCGGGAAGGGCTCCAATATGGCATCTAAGGGTGACAGTACTCAAGAATGGCGATGCTCGAGGCGATTGTCCAAATCGTGTTTTTGTAAGTCTTTCTATTATCCATTAATGAAGGTATTCGTCTACTGATGGTTCTCTTTAGGCATTCAAAACCTTAGAAGACGTCACTGGTGCTATCAATCAAGTCGAAGCTGCTTTTGGAAACACGTTTGAGTTGAAGAAATGTGGAATTGATTCTCCAGATGCTATGGGTGGAAGAGTTAACGATGGGAGGAGTGAGAATATCACGGTTGAGTTCGACTCCAATGTGACAAGGGAATCGTGGGCAGAGTTCTTAGCAAGGTTGAAGGGATTGGAGGATGAGTGGTCACATGCAATTGAGGTTTCGAGTCTTTGAAGGGTGGTGTGAATGAAAGATGGTTTAGACAATAGAACTGTAAAAGGGGCGATAATCAGAAGAAAAGTGTTGGGAGGCAGGGTCAATTTGTAATCAGGGGATAGTAGAGTATAGACAGAATTTCGAGAATTTCTAAGAATCTAGTAAACTGAGAACAAAATTTAATCCGAGATACATCATGCATCAAAGATTAGTCAAGCCACAACACAAGAAATCGAGTTCCAACACTTTATTTTTGGGCTGGGACTATTCATACACCGAAGTGACACAGAAATTGCAAGTCAATTATAGAAACGAGCTGACAATGCAAGAAGTGTATCTGGCATTGAATCCTAATACCCGCCCCCCCTTGCCTCTCGAAAGAAAAAAAACTCTCAACTTAACAATAGTTCAATGCCAAATACAGAGAATACCACTTGTCGAGATAGATCCAACAAGTTCATCGACATCGGGGAACGACGACAAAAAGGAATCACCAAAGGGGCAACCGAAAGTGCCGCGTAGTATCATTTCTATAAAAGGTCCAACAATGTCAATTCTCGGCCCTTGGCTGGCTTTAGAATAAGTCGGGTACTCTACTTTCGGGCCACTCCTCTTTTGAGCCACTTTTTATACCAAAAATGGAATTTTTAACTTTCTTATTATATAAATAGAATTTATTAAAAATTTATATTTTTATAATTTAAATCATTTTTAGTTTATTTTGAAAATTTCAAATTTTTAGGATTTTTTTGTATTGAGATTTAGAATTTTAAAATATCGATTTTTAAATTTGTTTAAGAATTATAAACAAATTTGAAACTTTTATAAAATCTTTAATAACTTTTTAATAAGAATTAATTAAAATAAATTATAAAGCTTTATTATAAGTTTAAAGTATATTTATTTTGAAAGATTAAAAAAAATAGAATTTTTTATATAAATATATATCTAAAAGAATATCCTCAAAATTATAGAGATTATTTATATTACTTTAAATTTATTATATATTATATCTCTATATCTATTAATTTTTTTAATTTTTTTTTTAATTTTTTTTTTTAATTTTCTATATAAATTTAAGTTCAAAACTTTCAAAAAGATATATAGTTTTTTAACAATTATTGTTAAAAAGTTATTAAAAATCTTATAAAAGGTCTAAATTTACATATGATTTTTATATAAATTAAAAAATCGATATTTTGAAGTTTTAGATTTCAATATAAAAAAATTCTAAAAATCTAAATTTTTAGAATAAATTCAAAACGATCTGAATTATATATACACAAATTTTCAATAAATTCTATCCATAAATAAGAAAGTTAAAAATTTCATTTTTTGAGATTTTTAATAATAAAGAGTGGCTCAAAACAGGGGTGGCCCGAAAGTAGAGTACCCGATTTAATAATTATAAACGAGAATCAAAGCAGTTATACTCGAGATGATGGGGAATTAGACAAGAAATCAACAGGAGAGATGCGAGATCGATAATTACTTAAAAGATGAAGCAATGGTTCCATCACTCTAAGGGGTTGAAGATTACGAGGAGCTTCGTTCCTGGTTCTCTATTGAATAAAAAACCCGATCAAGGTGGTAATGAAGACTATTGAGAAGTAAGTAGAAAATGCGAGTACCTGGGTAGTTTAAGGAGATAATTCACTGGGTAACCTTACACTCATATCTAGCTTTTGAAGATTACAATATCCCGAAATGGTATTTAAAACGGATTTCTTAGTGCAAGAAGTCGAGATGATAAAAATGTGTTATTATTATGATGTACTCCGTATACAATGAGCAAGAAATGAAGGTTTTGGCAATACCAAGCATTTTCTTCCCAAGACACAAAGTCATTAGGGCTTCAAGCATATGCCCCCACCACAAACCCAACGCCGGAAAGTATATTTTGCGTGGAAGACCCTCATTCCGCCCTCAAACCCTTGAAAAAGTCTGTGTACCCTGCCCTCTGAATTATTTACATCGACGTCTAGATCTCTGGGCATTCAATCGTGATTCCCACAGCACAACTACCATGCTATTCATACAGTATTGCCTCAACCCCTTCACAACCTTTTTCCCTTATCATCCCAGCTTTCTCCCAGCACTACTTTCTCATCACTAAACGGATTGTGGACATACACCTCTTTCTCATCATAGTATATAGTATCGTTCCTCGGTTCCGACATGGAATTTCTCATGTTTTGATGGGATCTGCGACGAGACATGCTGCGCGGTCTAATTGATATCGAATGAGCATTTTATCATCTAATGACTAGATCCAAGTGGGTGATTTCACTTACAATGGAGGCAAAGGTTTTTGTTTCTGAACAAGAGCTTCCTGTGGCAATGGGGGCAATGGTTTATCGTAAATATAAAATACCGTCCCGTCACATGGACCCGAATAGCTCAATCGCGATTCCCGGGCACGAATTGTCGTGGGACATGTTTCTGTGGTGAGAGTGGTGCCAGTATAGGCGGAGAAAGTCGAATCACAAGAGTTGCGAGAATATACTGAAGAGCTTCGGTTGTGCTTTGCGCCGGGGGAGTGAGGTACTTGGAGAAGTACTAGGTTCGACATTGCGATATTGTAGCTTTCTGGATTTTTTTCGGTTGGATGGGTTTATTTGCTCAGGTAGAAATTGAATGTTTGTTGAGTAGGTTATTGTGAACAATCATCCATATCTCTAAGCTGGGAAGGCTCTCCATCTTATGTATATCCTGGCAGCTGAATACGTGATCTAGTAAGTCGTACAACGACGTTACAATAGGATTCTCTCGCACGATCAACCCGAAATTTGTATGATGTTTGGGGCGCAGAAACAAAATCCTTCATGATGAAATACTCACCGTGAGATACTGAAAATCGCCTTGTGGATGAAGGGGTAGGATTTAAAGTTAAGCTTTGGCGAATGACCGATGACCCGAAATCCCTGTATTCCGGGGGCAGTCAAATCCTAAATCTCACCAAGACTTTTATATATAGAAAATGTTTAACATAGTTTATCAGCATATAGTCTATATCAATATATAGCCTACTTTCATCTCAATTTACACCTTTTTCTTTCAATATGTGTTTTATTAATAATTTATTATAAATTCGAATAATCAAGAAGCCTATATACTCCTTGCTATTGAAGCTATTTAGAAAGACAAAAAACAAAATATTTGAAAGATCGCTGATATATATAATATTTTATATATAATGTTACAATATAGAATTAACAGTTTTATTCCTTATATAGAATATCAATATAAATCTTATAATCTTTTAGAATTAGAAAAGGATATTATTATCGAATATATACTCGATATAAATTCGAAAGGTTTTTCATTTAAATTTAAGAATATGGAAAATATAATAAATTATATTCTCAAATCAAGGGATATAAAGAATATTGAAAAGCTTTGGGCATATTGATTTGTAAAGTATTAAATTGAATTAAAGATATGTTTTAATTGTATTTATAACTTTCAAAAAGTTCTCTATAAGGATTCTAAATTTATTAAAGAATAATTTCGATTAATTACAAATATATAAGCGAAATATAGCATTTTAGACAGAGATTTCTATAATTTCGATAAAATAGATTTTATAATAAGAATTATATATATGATAATGATTATTACTAATATTAAGAAATATAATAGAAGTAAATCAATACAGTTAAGTAATCGAGAATAAGCTATAGTAATAATATATAGAAATGAAAAGAATAAAACTATTCCTCTATTTTTAATAATTCAAAGACAAGTTTATCTCTTCAATTAATATATTAAAACAAATCTTTTTATAAAATAAATTATTAAATCTATATCTAATAAATAAACAAACAATAAAATAGATTTAAAATAATTGAAATATTTCGATAAGTATATTAAGAATAATAAAAAAGTAAATATTAAATATTAATACTAAATAAATATAAAAATTATAAATCAATAGCTATTACAGTACAAGAGATAACTACTAGGTAAAATATATAATATTCTATAAAAAGTAAAGAAAGAGATGAAAAGATTTCAACTATATAAAGGATGAATATCTTAGGTATTTATATAATTATATATTGAACCTGTAATAGTATCCCCCTTTAAGGGCTTGTTTGTCCTAAGTAAACTAAATTTATTATATAGCTTATTATTATATATAAATTAAATGGATAATTGAATTTGTTGAATTAATAGTTTAAATATTTTATATTAATTTGACTTTTCTTTTACAAATTGATTTTCAAGTTTTCTATACTTTCTTTAAGTATTCTATTATAGATAATAAGATTATCTTAATTTTGTAATTATTTAATATTTATTTTAATAAATCAGGCTTTTCAGAGTATATATAATAATACTTTATTAATAGTTTTTCATTCTTTTTTAAATTTGTTATTAATTATTAAGTAGAAGTATAATACTTTTATTTAATTAGATAATAATGATTATCTTTATTATAATTATTTATAACTTCTTTAAAGATTTATTTCTGTACTAACTCATTCTTATTATTCTCTTTTTTGAGAATCCTATTTTTAATAATAATTGATTCTGATTTGTTAATTATAATCTATATTAAGAAATATATTCTATTAATTATAAGAATAAATAACAAATAATGAAAAATAGGAAATATCAGAATATTATTTAATAATTGAATAAAATAAAAACAAGAATAAACTTTTATAATTTTATATAATCTTGTTTATCAATTATTTAATTTCTTTACTCTTTAAAAGATTTTTATATTTTTAATATTTATAAACATTTTCTAGTTTATATAATAATATGATAAGTGAATATAATATTAATTTATATTTTTTATATATATTATAATTACTTGCCTAGTAAAAGCTTATAATTGTAATAAAATTCTTTTCATTTTATTTGTTATTTTATTATTCTTAAAAAAACTCTTGTTTTTATATTATAATTATATTCAATGGGTAAGATTTATTAGACTTTATATTAATATATGAATTAAACTTATAATTAATAAAGAATAACGAGCAACTAATAGTTTTCAAAGTTATATTATTTAATATAAATTTAGTAAAAAGTAATTATTATATTTAATTATTTAATGAAAATTTACAAAAACTTGTAAATATTACTTAAGAAGAGAATTTATTCGTTTTATTTACCTATCTATTTATAAATAAAATGTTAAAGAATATTGAAAAGTTATAATTAATTGTTCAGCTAATTAAAACCAGAAACCAAATATAAACTATATATTATAATTAAAAATAATATTATTTAATAAACTGTTGGAAGTTGTGGCACGTGCTCTAAGCTACTGTGCATATATCACTTCCACTTCGTAGTTAGATTTTACCTTAGTACAATTAATCTACATAGTCAATAATACATGCATTCCACTGGCCTGCTCCTTTATTGTGAACAGGTTATGAGCCCGGTAGCTCTGCAGTAAGACTAAGGCCGAAAGCTCTTTGAATAGCTTACGTTGCCAAAGGAGAGGTTGACGACGAGAAGCTCCTACGCAACGCGACGTCAACATACGAGGTGCGCACAGCAAACAGATTGCTGAGCAGCGACAGCGAAGTAACCACTTACATCGCGCCTTTTCCTCAAGTAAGAAAACTACGAGTTATTACTGAAAAGACCATTCATTCCAGCTTAACGCTGAAGAGCATCACCTGCTACATAGTGTTCGATATCACTTCAAAAATCATTATCTACAAATCAAAATTCACTATTCTTAATTACCCCGCCTTGAAGAGAATTTCTCCCTTCAAACACTAGTACATCCCAATCGGGACAGCGCAGTCTTAAACAGTTCCTCTTCCACTCTTTCATTCCACCATCAATCACGCCTAGGTCATCGACGCAAGCTTTCTACTTGCAGAACCTTCAAAATGAACGAAGACACTGGATCCAAGGATTACTCCAAGCGCATCCCTCCTCTCACTCAAGAGAATCACGAACGCTGGACTCGTCAAATAAGAATTCAACTTCGAGGAAAAGGTTGGTTCTATACATGCGAAAAGACATTGCATGAATATGCACGGATTGCAGCAGCCGACAACTTAATCCAGGATTTCGAAGAACTTCAAGTCTCCAGCGGCAGCGGCAGTACCACTACAAAGATTCGACTCAATATCGACAAAAAGGCCACCTTTCTTAAGGACGACGCTAGTGCATTATCTTACATCTGTCGCTCATTATCTGACGATGATGAGGCTTTAGTGGACGAATATGATACAGCAAAGAAACTTTGGGATTATCTAGCCGTCAAATACTCCAGAATCGATGATATCGCAGCAGACGAGTACCTCCTCAAGATCAAGACCTTCTCTTTCGACGATACCCCTGATATGACTATTATAGGTGCATGGGATAAGCTCAAGGATCTTCGACGAAAGCTCTTATCTGCGGATGCTTCAGCCGGTGCTTTGTGTACAGATAAATCACTCTTTCAAAGCCTGACCTTGTCTCTCCCTGATGAGTACAAAGTCATCATTGATATGATCCGTGTCGTCAGTTCTACTCTAAGCATTGACGATAAGATCAAGCATCTACAGGTCAAAGAGGCAGAGATCCAGACCTCTGGAGACTCGGCACACCTTGCAAAAGGAAAGAAATATGTCCCACCTCATCGCCAGCGTAAGGCTAGCACAAGCTCGGAGACCGACACATCCATCATCACTTGCGAACTCTGCGACAAACCTGGCCACTCAGTCCTAAAATGCTTCCAGCTCCGTCGCGCCAAGCGTCTCTTGAAATCCGATTCAAAGCACAAACAGAAGAGAAGACAATCCACCTCTCCAGTGCGAAAAGACAAAAAACGCAGGGAGCACAAGGCTCATATCGCCGAATCAAGCTCCGATGCTACTGAAAGTGTCGTCGATAGTGAGTCTGATTCTGAGCATTGTCATCTCACCAAAGAAAGTATTAGTAAGGCATCCCCATCGCAATGGTACGCTGATACCGGCGCCACTTCACACATGTCTGACCAACGTTCTCTATTCAGAAGTCTAATTCGTACTCCGCGACGAAGGATAACGGTTGGTGGGGGAGCTATGTACTCGGATGAGCGAGGAACAGTGGACATGGTGTGCAAGGATGGAACAAGGACATCATTAGCTGGTGTGCTATATGTACCTGGATTGGGGGTCAACCTGCTCTCAGCCAAGAGAATTTGTGAGGCAGGACTCAAGGGTACATTCAGTCTCAAGAAGATGTATTTCACACCAGAAAACGATAAGAATAATAAGATCATCAAAGCAACAATGAAAGATGGGATGTACATCATCTCGCATGTGAAACCAGGATACGAAGATTCTGCATTCTTTGCGCTCTCTGCAGAGATCATTGATGGTACAAAAGGGGAAGTCGAAGAATTAACCATGACGGAGAAGGAAAGATACCTTATCTGGCATAGACGCTTCAATCATCTCGGCCCTGACAAAATCAGGAATCTGCACAAAGTCACTACACTCCAGAGACCGATCAAGGTCCCTTCAACTCTTGATGTCTGTGAAGTGTGCGCTCTCACAAAGATGACTAACAGAATCCCAAGTCAACTAAGTGCACGAAAATCCAAAAGGCTAGAATTGATCCATTTCGATGTTGCTGGCCCTTTCCCAAGGACCATTCGAGGGCACAGATACTTTCTCCTTATTATCGATAGCGCCACAAGGGTAAATTGGGTCATCCTATTGAAACAGAAGAGCGATGCAATACCCTTACTGAAAGCCTGGAAGCAAGAAATTGAACTTGCTACAGGAGTAGCTGTAATTGCTGCCAGAACCGACAATGCACCAGAGCTTCTTCAAGCCGTCCGGGAATGGAAGACTGGTGTGCGATCAGAGGTTACAGTGGTTGTATCGTCTCACCAAAA